TAAAAGGCGATTGATGAAGGTTATGAGCATCTTATTTTTAGGTAGGATGATTCAATAGGTAAGACACATTACTTTAATATCTTTTATTAAATAGCCATTTACGAGTATCATTGTCACTATGTGAAGAATAGGCAGATTTAAGTTATTATCCAAAACAAGTTGTTCACCTAACTTTACTTTATTCAAAAGCCCCAAACTGATGTTTTCTTTTACCATTTAAAATGTGGCTTACATAAGCTCCCTGATCCACCACAGCCCGAGTTTCAACAACTTTTAAAACAGAACTATATGCATTTAAAGTCCAACAACATAGAAATATATTTCCTGTTCCATAATCGCGATGCTATCTCAACAAGTCTACCATAGTCCACAGAGATATCATTCATTCATAGATGCAATGATATGGTCAGCAGCAACATTCATTACATTCATTCTGGATGCAATCCATGTTCAGTGTGTCCTACGCCACTCAATACACAGCAAGAAAATGGAGAGATGGAATTGATTAGGCAGGGAAATGGGTTTTCTTTTCTTTTTGCTTTAGAATTCGAATACAGGGTTTTTTTGTTCTCACCCAAAATGTGCTTTATTATTTTTTTGACAAGTCACAAAATGGCATATAGTCTCAGAAGTATAATCTGCAATGTGGTGGTTCTCACCCCCAGTTCTCACCGCTCCCTTGTCAGATCTTTACCACCACCAGCGGGAGGGATGCTACTGAACATTCTCTAATGTACAGGACAGAACTCACAACAACAACAAATTCACTGGCTCAAAATTTCACTCGTGCAGAATATTCCTTTTTCCCATATGGAACTTCCTTTTCTTTGTAGTTCTCATGAAGACCTGCAAATCATCACGATTGGTTAGTTTAGTTGGCCAGATGCTCCCAGCAGTGTAAGGCAGCTTAATTCAAATAGAGAATCAATTATGGGCCAAGTTAGAGAGCTATTATTCATATGTCCTATTTATAAGGGCTCCCTGACCTACTCTTTCAAGAATTACAAAGTGCTCTCATTAGTTCTTTCTATTAGGTCTTGGGACCCTACTTGCCTAAAATTTCTCATGGCCAGACAGTATTAGTGTGAAAGATGAAGCTGAATTGACTCACTCTCTATCAAAGAACAAATGTGAATTTATAGTCTATTTTTCTTATAATAAAAATCTCATTTATCCTGATGAATAAAAGCCAAGATCATTAAAATAAGGACATTCAGGAAACTTCCTTACAACCTTACTCTTTCCAGCACCCAAACAATTAAAAATACAGGCTATAGGGCATGAGAGACACAAGTATAAATCAATCTAGATTATGGCATAATTAGCTATCACAAACTGCTGTCACATTTCTCCTTTCAAATGAACTCCATATTAGTTATCACATTTCTTCAAAAATTATGCTTTAAAAATAGAAAAGAGCTACATGATTACAAAGGAAGTAGTGATTTTCCGAAGTCTCAATTCATGAAGCTTTAGACCAAGGAAGTATTCTACTAGAACTGTGCTTACCTCCCCCCAAAAGTTCAAAATAATGCCACTTGCTCTTCTTGTATTTAAAACAATAAGTTCTATGAAGAAGCTATGAGCTCTTTGAGATGGGGAGTTGTCTTTCCTGGTCTTCTGTTATCCTTTGTTCTAGGTATCCCTAGCTGTCAGGATTTGAACCTTTTTTGGGGGGGTGGGGCGGGGGAGTCTACAATTTCAAAAGCAAATACAGAAAACTTGGCAGTCCCTTCCCAGTTAGTCTTTAGAAAGGTTGAGAGGAAAAGAAAGTCGTATTAAACAAAAAGAAATCATTTTTATTTTCTCCTGAGAAGGTCTTTGGGAGCCCTCGTGGCAGTTCAAAACCATCAGCTGCTCTGGGGAAAGAAAGAGGAGGCTTTCTACCCCGGTAAAGAGTTACAGTCTTGGAAACCCACAGGGGAAGTTCTACCTTGCCCTTTGAGGGCACTACCAGGTAGAATTGACTCTATGGAAGGGAGAGTGAGAAGCTTCACAGAAATAGACCTGGTAAGACGGGCTAGTCTGCTTGATTTTCTTGCCATCTCTTTAAACACTAGTGATCTACATACATCTAATCACTCCTATGGTCCACGATCTCTAAAACTACGTTTAGTTAATGCTTTCTTTGGAGAGGTTCTGTGACACCCAAGTGTTTGGTGGCAGTGAATAGAGACTGAAAGAAAGAAAAAAGAAAAGGAACTCTTGGACTGAAAATCGTGCTTTAAGATTCTGTGTATAAACCTGAAGGATTGCTGCACATGTTAAATCTGCTGCATACATCTAATGGTGGTCACGGAAATCCTCCTCCCCTCGCCCTAGTTCCCCTGTAGCTACTGAATATGTCAGATCTCCTAGAAACAACAGTTAGCAAAGAATGTTTTCCTCAGCTTGTACTAGAAAACTCTGGTACCCTATCTGCATAACACAGCACCAAACTGAGCCAGGGCACCAGAAGCTCTGCTCTCTGCTTCCATGGTATCCAGACCGTTTCTAGTAAAAATACTAAACACCACTGAACACTTTTGCCCTAGATAATTTTAAGCGTTATCTATCACTGTGCCACATGAGAAAGAAAAACGCAGTTAACAAGATGACAGTGTTATCTAGGTATTTGGCATCAATATTAGCGAGAGTCTGTCATTTGACAATTATTCCTCCAGCATACCAGACGGTAAAGAAAATGTTTTCACTCATCCGCAAATGACTAACATTTTATTGATGTTTCAAAATGCGGTTGGATACTATGGCACTCTCGATTTCCGAGTCGTTTATGAGAGTTAAACCTGAATACTAATAGCATCAGCAACACCTGCTGCAAGTGTCTCCGTTAATTGCAAAGCTTGGAGTGTCAGTTCAGCAGGGAGGTGCTTCTGGTTAGGGGCACTTCGATCAGTCGGTCTGGGTGGTCACAGGTGAGGGGAGTCCTTCGCTTTCCACATATATCCTCTTGCACCGCGATATCAAATCACAGCAAGCGCCGCTATTGCCCAGCACAGCGACTCCCTAGCTGCTCGTAACGAGCTCAGTCTGGGAGGCAGCCGGATGCTGACCCCTGCAGAGATGATTGCTTCTATGCGCTTTGCCAATGGACCCTGTTAACGTTAACGAAAGGAGTTCGGGATGTCTGCGGTTTTGCTTATTTGCTTCCTCCGAGGGAAGAAGGTTTGGGGTCAGGAAAATCAAATCGTCGAAGACTGCTAAAGGGGGATAAGGGTGGAGAGATGGAAACATTGGGGAGGAAGGGGCTTATTTTTCAATGATTTTTTTTTTCCCTCTCTCCCTTCTCCGCTGCTTTCAAACTCCTCACTGAACCCAGATTGATTAGTGTAACTGCTATCGACTGCAGCCCGGTTTTCGCATTGATCTGCAAATGGCCCGGAATAGCGAAGGGATCTTGAATCTGGCAATGAGTTCAAAAAGGAAAGGAGGAAAAAAAGACCAGGGGACAGCCTCTGGCCCAGCCTCCGCTCCGTTTCAGGACTCAGCCGTCCGGTGAGCGGCGCAGGAGCTTCCGTGGGGCAGCCAGGTAGCTGGTCTGCGCAGCAGCTAAAGCAGCTCGCCCGTGCTGCCTTGGAGTTTGATGAAAAATATAATAACCCTGTAAATCAGCAAATCCTATACTTTAGCCCATCCTTGATTTGGATGCGCGGATCACCCCCAAACGATAGGCACAAACGGGTTAAACTGCCTCTTACATAACAGGACTGCCTGGCGCTACACAATTAAAACACTTGATTGCAGTCTTCCCGACTCTCGCAGATGACCCGCCCCATCCCTCCCAGCGCGCCTGCGTGCAGCGCGCGCACAGACTCCTGCGCGCACCCCAGCGTGCGCAGAGTCGCGCGCACGCATCCGCGCGGGCACAATTCCACGCCACACTCCTGCGCGCATACACTCCACACGGGCACAGACACGCCAGAAATACCATAAACCTTTCCCTGCAAACAAAACAAAAGAGAACAAAAACGACTCCGGGCCAGCAGCAGGCGTTGGGGAGGACGGGCAGCCTCCGAGCCGTTAGGACTGCCCCAGCAGCCTCGCAGGCTGCTCTACCGCAAAGCCCGGCGTCCAGTCCGGCCTCCTTTCCCCAGCCCCAGCTCCGCTCCCCGGCTCCGCGTATTCCCGCAAAGGAGTACAGCCAGGACTAGTTGGCCGCTTGTCAACTGAAGCCCATCAGTCACTGGGAGGCATAAAAAGTCCCAATCGGATCGCCAGCGTCATGATGGCGCCCACCACAACTTGGAGGACTTTAAACTTACATGCCTAGCGAGGTAAAACTCACCCACCGGAAAGAAAAAGTACCCCCAGCCCTGACTCAGACTGTTCTTGCAAAGCATCACGTTAGTGCCTACGACCTAAAAGAAAGCGTCCACTCTATGAGCCATCGCGCTTTCCCCCACAGTCTGCACAATTATGATATACCTCCTCCTGCTTTTGGGTGTTTTGTTTTTTTAAGTTTTTTTAACCCCTCTCTCTTTCTGTCCCCCC